AGAATTGTTCACAAACTATATATTTAACAAAAAATATATTTTTAACCTTAAATAATCAACAGAGATATGCTGTTAAAACAGAACAATCAATCAATATATTAATGCAAGACAATATTCCTTCACATGCTGCAAAACAGGCTATTGCCCATTTTTCCAAGAAAGGTTTTAAAGACACCAAATTAACAGAATGGCTTTCAAGCCTCTCCCGATAATAATCCAATAAAAAATTTGTGATCAATTATTAAGAAATATATGAGAAATGAAAACCAATATTCAATCAAATGAGATCTCTGGAAAGCAATAAATTTTACTGCAAGTAATTTTAAAGTTGAAACAGTAGAAAAGTTAGAAAAATCAATAGTTAAAAACTGATGAATGTTATAGAATGTCAAGGAGCTCACATTAACATGTAAAGTAATAAAAATAACTATCTAATCAGTGATATGGGATATTGTGTTAATCAAATCTATGTACAAAGAAAAACAGATGAATGTTTAAGCTTGTAGTGAAGCCTTATTCCATCCAATTTGATTACTACCCATAAATAAAGTTTCATCATTTCTTTTATAGTCTAGTAGACTGAAAATTCTATGAATATAGCAAAGAAGCAACAAGGGGGTCTTAAAAAAATGGTAACAGAAAGAGCACATACTCAAAATCAGGAAAAGACTGCTGAAAAATGCTTTAGTTAAAAAAAATGAATTTGTGAATTTCAAAAATTAAAATATGCAAAAATATGTTTTATTTTATTTTCCATAAACAAAATTAAGTTTTTATAATTGATGCAAATATTATGACTTAAAACTTGAAAGTACTTTTAGTAACTTGACAGGGGTATTCAGAAAGCTATTTAACTAATGAAAATTTAACTTTAAGTAAACATTAAGGAAAAATACCTTGTGGGTATTCAAACAACCCCTGATACTAATAATTAAATTTAAATCACTACTCTCTTTTTAAATATATAACAACTAAGGAATTATCAAGTATACAGAAAAAAATTAAGGAAATCATTCTATCATTATTTAAAAGGTTGATTTTTTTTTCTTGCTTTATCATTATCTTACTATTAAATTTTGTTACTCCTTATTTTTACTACAGTTGCTAATATTAGTTCAGTCTTTTTAAATTTCCATTTTCCTTTTATCCACTTACAACTCAGAAGTTAGTTTTTATTCTCATTTTATAAAAAAACAAAGATAGTTGGGTTTGTTTAATCATTGACTTGTGTCATTTTTCATTGCTATTGTGTTTTATATTTAACTTTCTTAAAAGTTCAGCTTATCTATCTATCTATCTAAATTTTAGATTTTAACCAATTTCAACCAATGATCATCACTAACACTTTCATTGATGCATTGTTATAGCATTATTGCCTGAGTATGCTGACCCATTTTGGAAAAAATAGGAAATTGCCATTTACTGGAAATAAAGATGCTGATGGCAATTTCTCATGGGTGCCACCATTTTGGTTTTGACTGGATACTGTGCAGTAGCTACTAAGCTAAATGACACACCAAACAAATTATAATAAAAAATACATCACAAAACCTCTGGCAGCAAGATCTCTAATCAGGAGAATGGAGGTTTTTAAGAGTTTGGGATCACCTCTTAATTACTGTTGTTCCCAGGTCCACTCTGACATGAGGTGGTAGCATCTGTTAGGGTCCCAACTATGGGCATATAGTGAACTCCCACACAAAAAAAACAATAGTATAAAAATACATTTTTATAGTAAAAATACCAGCAATACATTTTTTTATATAAAATCCCAACAATACATTTTTAAAACAAAATGACAAGAAATACATTTTATATTAAAATGACCAGCAATACAATCAAAGGCATACAATTGTGTTTTAAAATATTTAGATTTCAGCATTAAATAACCCCTAGAAGTTGATATGCTGCTAAACAAAATCAACCAACATCACAAAACAGGTCATACTGTATACTACTTTATATTAACACTGGGTTGCAAATAGCACTAAGTGCTAGTTAGTTTATAGCACAAATGATAGAGACTAACATTTTACAATGCCTTTAAAATGTATGTATATATCAACAGCAGGTAATGTAAGTTTTGTAAAGACATACAAGTACATCTACATCAGCAACAGTGTTATATGAATATGGTTAGAAATATCATGTCATTATTTCTAGTTCCTTTTGCTGTTATATTAGTCTTTTGTAAAGTATATGTGAGAAACTTATTTTATCTTGATTTTACTAACTTATACTCTGTATATTATTAGTCTCATTCTGATAGTATTTCATATGAAACTATAGTGCAACAGACCTTGCATAAAATTTACCATCTATAAAAGAAAAATTTTAATATTTTTTCATATTATCTACACTTTAGTAAAATTATGAAAAAAATAAGGCACTTAAGTCTGAGACAGGATCTTGAAAAGAATTTTTTTCAAATAAGAACACTATTAAAAACTATAGGAAGAAATTTTGTATTTTCTTAATTTTACCATTATTCATTATCTTTCTGTTTGGTTTTAATTTTTTCTGTCAACGGAACTTAAAATACATCAACTGCATCCTCTTCAGAGGAATAACACTCCACCAGAAGTGGCCATCATCCAGATGGATGCTGGTAGACTCCAGTATAAATCCATCCAATGTTCACCTATAGTCTTAAGTATAAACTCTACTAATGTTTACTTCTAGACTCCACTATAAATCCAACTAATGTTTACCTATAAATTCAAGTATAAATTTGAGCTATGCTTACCTATAAAGTATAAAAAAACAAACAAACAAAAAACAGATTTCAACATTGAATACCCTTACATGGGTTGATTTGTCATAGAGTTCGCCAACCCATCCCTTCTCAGATTCTTAATGTATTTTGATTCTCAATATTATTCAGGAGTGGATCCAAAATTTGGAGCAGGGTGGAGATCTAAATTTTGAGCAAATTTTGAAAACTCTTTGCTTATATTTGGGACATAGCTTTTTATCACTAGAATTGACAATAGAGTAATGTAAAAAAAAATAATCAAATAAACTTCACACAAAATCAATAAATAAATAAATGTATAAAGAATAAAATGGAAGAAATGATTCTTATTAGTTGTGTGCAAAAGTTCCCAGTGCTCTTTTGAAATCTAGAGACTGAAAACAGAGTTGAAAATTGTTTTTTTTTTTCTTGCTGGAAACACTTGTACACACCTAATATATTAAATAAAAAATGTTTTTAAGATTAATTTATGATTATTTTTGTTTTTTTGTTTATAAAATTTCCACATCAGGATATATTTTTCAATTTTTTAATTGTACTTTGCTGAGTAGGTGGGATCCAGACCCCTTGGATGCCACACTCTCTGCAGATTTGTATCTGTTATAGATCGTTACTATCTTCTTTCTTTTTTTTTTTTTCTTCTTTCTGGTAAAAAAAAAAATACAAATCAACACAGTCATGTCCATTTTAAAAGAAGAATTCAAAGTATTACTTACTTCATTTAACTTTATAAATGTGTTTTTTATATATCTAAGTACAGTAGACATATAGGACAGTTTATAAAACCTATATTTTGACATATTTCACTGATGAACTGACATTATCATAAAAAGAATCAAGAAAAAACATGATTCATGTTAAAAATATTAATGCTTGACTTTAGTTTAACTATCATAATAGAAATTAGATTTTAACTAATTTCACCTTAGTTGTTATTTTATTTATTTACCTATATATTAATTTATTTCAAGGTTTTCATATCCCACATTGTCTCGGTACTATTTTAAGAACAGGTGATAAACTAAAATAGGCCGATTGTATATATTAATTGTACAGGACTGGTAGATCATGGCACTTTCAATGCATGTTTCTCTGAGTAGATTATATTTATTTTTTTGTGACACTACATTTGAAATTTTTGGGACATATAAGGCCTGGAGAATTTAATACTCACAAGACATATCAAAGGTAAGAGTGATAGAGGGAAAACTGCAAAGGACCTCCCTAACAAGCTTGTGTAAACGGATGGCAGAACAGGGTGTGGGAGGGATAGGAAGTTGTAGAGAGCCATGATCGCCTATGTCCTGAAGTGACACAGCACATAAAAGTAGACAGTTCATTGGCGAGACATGTCAAAATAGAAGATTTCCAAATTGTTTTATATATTTACTATCCTGTCAGATTCTTATCCAAATTTCACTCATATTTAAGTATACAAAAGAAAAAAAAAGACTATTTTTTATTAAAAGCATTTTGACTGTTATGAATGCAGTATACAAGTCTTTAAACTTGAAATTAAAAACAAGATGATACTCCAAATACAGGCAAAGATCTCACAAAAGACAATTAAAATATATAATAATACATATTATTTTATAATATTTTTTTCTCTTAAATTTATTAATCCTTATTATTCATTAATTTTTTAACCTTGTCCAAAGGTAAAGAAAAAATAATGACTAAAAGGCCTCAGGTAAAACAGCTGGATTACAACACACTCTTAAGAAAATCTTCTTTTTTTTATATTAGTGTGCGTTTTTTTTATATAAATTCCTCTTACCTTTTGTATATATGTAAGTATGGTAAATCTGTATTTGTAAAAGAAACATAAAGGCTGTGCCTTGTATTACTTATAATCTGGTTTCAATATTTCAGTAGAATTTCTTTTCAAAGTTTGATATATCGAATCAATAATATCCTCACAGATGAGATAAATATTTATCATTTGCAATCATTTTTTTTATATTAAAGCTATATCTTAATATTTTTTATCTTCTGAGCACAGAAAACTATATTCACTGCATTTTGTAAAATCCTACCATATGTCATTATGCTTCTAAAATATGTAAGATTATGTTCATATAATTTGAGTTAGTGTATTTGATATTTTGCAAATAATGTTTTACTCCTTAAAAGCAATGGGCTGTTAAAATCTTTCAGTTTCTTTCTAATTTAAATAAATAAACCTGACGAAAAGGTTAAGTTCTGGTAATCTCATGTTATCTATCTTGCTGTCTTTCATCAGCGTATGGAAGAAATTGAAAAAGACTTATGTCAGGACCAGTATGGGCTAACACCTCCACAAGTGAACATCTGCCCTCCATCACCACAGAATAATGAAGACCTAAAAACTGGGAACTTTCCTTAGTAAGTATAACAATTTCAACTAAAGAGAAGAAGGAAATCAAATCAAAATGTTTCTTTTATTTGAATTACTGGATTTTTGTTTATGAAATGATTGCCTTTTTGCCTTTCATTGCTTTTTGTATGATTCTTGGATGTTATTGAAAAAAAAAGTAATATTGTTCATATTTATTTGCAGCAGACATGTTACTATCAAGGATTTAAATTGTTTAATTACCACTTTAGAAATTATAAAAATAACAGATTTAAAGAGTTAATAAAAAAAATTTCCTATTGAAAATAATGAAGACTTGACTGTAGCATTTTTGGATTAACAAGATTTTTCTAAATGCACACAAACACACATCACATGCATGTATGATGTTGAATATGACTATTGCAAGACATCATTGTAAATCTCATTATGACTCTTTAAACCAGGAATGCTTTTCAAATCTTTGGCACAAAGCTAGCAAACCTAAAACATACATTTTAATGACATTAGGTTTATTTTCATGATAGTTTGTGTGTCTTTTCAGCTGACCAGCTGACTTACACTCTTTTTCACAAATGTGACCTGAATTGTTAATATTTAATGCCATTTCATAGTTGGACAGTACTCTACTATGATGACTTGGCACATGACTCAATTTTTGCTGCTTTGCTTAAGCAAAACCGACATGGTGGGATCATGCCTATCACCTGCATGATCTGGAAGTTCAATATTATGAGCTTTTCAGATACTTCAGCTTTTTGTTTACTGTCTAAGAACTCTTGAAAGCAACCTTTCCATCATGAACCTTCTTCTATCAGGTGGCACAATCATTTGCATAAAACACCCAGTCATGTGTACAATCACACATGCACACACAAACACACTAACACACCTAAACATGCATGAAGATAGACACAAGTATATACTCATATAAACTGACATAAACACTCACATATACATGCATGCATACACATATAAACTCCAGCATACATACACATATATGAACATATTTAGGCTTTCACAAAGGTATGAATGTATGCACACACCTATGCACATATGCAGCACTTATGCTTACACAAACACATCAATATAGATGCACAATCATGCTTACAAAAACACATCAACACACATACAAAATCATGCTTACACAAACACATCAGCATACATACACAATTATGCTAATGCAAACACATCAACACATATATACACTCACACATGCATACATACCTTCTGTCTGTCTCTCTCTCTCTCTCTCTCTATATATATATATATATATATATATACCTATCTATACATATTAATTCATATTAATGATCCCCCTGAATGAAGCTTCATGTAACTGTTTGCTTAAATGTATTTTGACATTCTATCTCTTGCCTTGAAAATAATCTGTAATTGTATTTCAAATTGAAGCAAATGACTAAATTAAAACTAGTTTTGCCATGGATTAATTCCCAAATAGCCACAGACACAAATTCAATATATCCATTTTGATTTTGATTTTTTGAATAAAGCATTTAATCTTTAAAAAAAGGCTAAAATATTCCAAAGTACAGATTCTTAAAAAGAAACAAAAAACAGAACATTTGCAATCATCATTTGAAGTAACCACATTCAATAATCATTAAAATTATTCATACATTGTCAATTAAAATTAAGGCGCACTATTTACAGAAGACTTTTTAATTAAGATTCCTATCAATCTATTATCTTAGCTTTAATATAAATAACAAAAAACAAACCTTAATTCTAATTGTCTTTGCCAATTGTATGTTCTTTTGAGCTTATTTTTAGTAACTTCCTTTATTTTGTGACCATCTAATTGGTTTGCTGCCTTTGTTTGTATGTTGTAGAACTTGAGCAAAGAATGAAGATTTCATTCAATTTGGAATTCTCTTATTTGTTGCAGCCTCATGACATTTATATAGAAATACCTCTGATTTATTTTGCTCAATTAAGATGTTTATATTAGAAGTATGTTTTTTAGTTACAATACTTTGCTTTGGTCACTTTTAATGTTTCAAAAAGGAAAAAGATTTAAGCATGAATGCAATTTTCTGATTTTTATATCAAGCACTAAGTTAAACATCTATGAAAAATAACTCTTTTATTGTCATCTGTGTTTTGCCTTGCTTCAAATATTTCAAAGCTTTCTTAAACATAATAAGAATGAAATTAGCAAATAAATTGGTAAATAAAAGGGGAAATATAGAAATGTTATATAAACAAACAAGTAAAGACTGTCCTTTAGAGACATCTTTCTATGGTTTTAGATACAATAGAAATATTGTCCAGGTAAGCATAAAAATATTATCTTTTTGAGTCATGAAAAAATATTTCCAAATGATAATCATGTGGTTTTAGATGAAAACTTTAAATATATAAATGTATTAGTAAGTGTTGAAAGATTATTTTTCATGACATTTTCCATAAGATAGAAATGCTGTCTAAGTAAGTATCAAAAGATTATCTTTTTGAGACATTTTTCTGTTGTTTTTAGATCAAAACTTGCAGCATAGAAATATTTTAGTAAACATCAAAAGATTATATTTTAGTGGCTTTTTTCCATTGTTTTTAGATCAAAACTGGAATTATATACATTTTTTAAATACATTTTATCAAATCTGCTAAGAAAGTTGTCTACTTAATTTTTCAGATACTCATTGAAACATTTTATTCAAATTAAAACAGCAAATTTTCTCATGATTTAATTTAGTAGGTCTACTTTGAATGACTGGAATTTCTGCCTTGCAAACTCTTAGATTCCAACAGATGTGCTTACAAGCTGTGTTTGTTATGTTTGCTTATAAATGCCAAGGTTCGGCCAACTTAGTTATATCTAGTCTATTTCATTTGTGTTGAATTGCTGTCAAGTGCTGTTGTAGATTTTTAAAGTTTGGTGTTAGTGTTGTATGCTTGGGACCTGAAGACAGATTTCAACATGTGGAATGCTGCCCTGGTTCTGCTGTTTCTATTCTAGTTATGTGTCCCACTGTCATTGCAGTCTATCAAGGTATGTGATTATATAAAAATCCTAATTTTTTATGCAGCTAGTCTTTTTGCAGTTCATTTTAATTTCTTTTTCCCCTATAATCTAAGATTATTCATTACCCAACAATCTTCAGGCAATTTAATTCCTTCTTTGTACACTTGCTGCTAATACAACACCTCAGCCGATCTACTCTTCAGCCTTCATCAGATATAATCTGAGATGAAAAGGAAACCTCTTTCTTCCAGAAAAAAAGAAAGATGTTGACTATGATCATTTTAAGATACCAACCAGACCAATCTATTTCTCCAGTACCCAGGTGATTCTAAGTAATACATTGACCAAAAGGTTATGTTAATGAGTTTACAAAGATGTATAGTTGTCAAAAGAATGTTGGGTATATTAATGACTCTTCTCAAAGTTACAGACAGTAATTTGTTACACAAAGGTTTGACTATTATCTCTTTTTACATTTATAGAAATTATCTACTTAATATATCTACTGTACAAACTTGCCTCCCAACCTGTTTACTATAAATCTATCTTAATATTATCTCTTTTAAGACTAATCTTTATAAAAGTAAACTGTCACCATCAGATTTTCTTTCATAATAAATATATATAAAATAAAATAGACATAAAAGCTAACATTCTGCACATTCAAATTTTCCAAATATTTCCTATCATCAATATTATTCAGAAGCCAATAGAAACATATTACAAAAGTTTTTCATATAACAAAATATATTTTGTTGTATCATTTAATCAATTTTATCTCATTACATTATTATAAATTATTATTCCTTCTTATTAAATATCTAAGCATTTAACAAAATAAAATATTTAAGCATTTGACAAAATAAAATATGTATGTGTTTAGCAAAATATCTAAGCATTTAGCAAAATTAAATAAAATCTAATCATTTAAGAAAATAAAATATCTAAGCATTTAACAAAATATGTAAGCATTTGACAAAACAAATTATGTATGTGTTTAGCAAAATATCTAAGCATTTAGCAAAATTAAATAAAATCTAATCATTTAAGAAAATAAAATGTCTAAGCATTTAACAAAATATGTAAGCATTTGACAAAATAAAATATGTATGTGTTTAGCAAAATATCTAAGCATTTAGCAAAATTAAATAAAATCTAATCATTTAAGAAAATAAAATATCTAAGCATTTAACAAAGTTACTTAAATATTTTATAAAAATTATTCTAGGCATAATCATTTTTTTTGCTTGTATTTATTTCATCTTAATTTCAGTTGTTTTTATCACAACTCTCAGATTGTCATATTATGAGTGTTAGTAAACAATACAGATCAATAAATCACCAATAAAAAGCAACTGAAATTAAAATCAAAGAAATACAAGTTAAAAATTAATAACTGACAATAATTGATCTAAGAAATTTGAATAGTATTATAACTAATACTACTAGGGTATGTAAATAAAGAAAGTGATGTATTAAGCATCTGAATAAAGAAAAAAAACACTATATGGTTTGATTTTAATTACTATGACTGTTTTTGCCTTTGTAGCCCAATTGGTAAGGGAACTGCCCTGAAAGATATGCTCTTTAGGCTAAAGGGTGTAAGCTCAGGTCTTACTGCAGGATTATTCTTTATTTCTGATCAACACTGCTTATTAATGATAACACATGGTGATCTGTGTGTTGTGCTAAAAAGCAACTGAATCCAAGATGAAAGAAATACTAATCAAAAATTAGTGTGACAATGTTTCTTCTAAGATATTTGAATAATATTGCATTACTATTACTTATGTCTTTATGGTATTATTAGAGATGCAATGAAAATGAGAAGTAGTTGACTGTTGAATAAAAAACTCTAAAGTTCATCTATTTTTTAAATTTTCATAAATATTCTCTAAATTAAAAAATTATAATTAACATATTCAAATATGAGACACTGCAATATTCTTTATATTCTAAGATTAATTTTTATCATTGAGTCAATTTTAGGATATTTATTTTATCAGCCCCTGTCAAAGATGACAATGAATAAAACAGACTTTT